TATGTATGTTTGTAGCTTATATAATATGTACTCAAAAACTACTCGATTGATTTTGACGAAAATCTCAGAGACTGTTTTAAAAGATATCAATAAAGTTTAGAAACTGAGATATACTTGAACCAGAGTTACACCTATACCGGCTATACCTATATAGCGTATAATATACTATGTATAGGATTTTCCACAAAACTGCACACAAGCGAAGCTAGTATATAATATTTGTACATGTATAATATCGATGATGTATTATAATACATATATTGTATTAAACATTTAAAATCATCATAATTCGCAGCATGTGTCCTAACTTAGGTTAGGTATTCATGATTTACCTTTTTTATTTAAAAAATATAGTGGGAATGTAGGTCGATGCGCCCTTCTTGCCCTCGAAATGATTTATCAATAATGAATATTATGTAAAATGTAAACATCACAATATTGCAGTCCTTGAAAATCGCAGAAGAAAAATAATACTCAAACTCAAGTATTATATAACGGTTTAAAAATAAAATGTGTTGTAATATTCAACGATTATATGTTCAAAACGGGGATATACTAACAAATTTCGGGGGGGGATGTAACATCGTGCAAGAGATATCCCAGTCAGTATTTTGGAGGTCTCACGTTGCCCAATATTGATATTGTTTCCCGTTCGAATTACGACGTGTGCGCGAGCGTTAATACGACCACAGAAATCCATCGAAACGGAAAATCGTGGACACCAAACACCAATTTGTATCGCGTGTGGAGTACTTCACAGTGATTTCGATATAATACGCCTCTGCCTGGTAGGTATAGCTATACCTAACCTACCCATTGTATATACCTCCGTCGCGGTATAGTCCGTCCCCCTTCGTCCGGTAACGTAACAGTACTACGAATCGTTTCCGTCGGAATGACCACTGTTTTAAACGTTTTTCGGTCGTGTTAAACGCGCGTGTGTGAGTTAGGAGCGTGTTTGTATATATATATATATATATATATATATATACACTCGGGCGACTTCCGGTCGGACGGTCAGCCCGGATGCTCGGAAGAAGACGGCGTACACAAAGGGGTCCGCGGTCTTGCCGCCGGATGACGCGATGTTTCGGGACGAGACGACGGCGCCGGGCGAGGGGGTGCGATCCTCCGGCCCCCGGGGGACGGGTAAATGGCAGCCGGGAAAATTGGGTTTGTCGTGACCAGGTATCAAACACACACGCACACAATAGCGGACACGACTTGTTCCGTACGCTTCGGTCGTCACTGCAGTCGCGTCTTTATTGTGTGCGTCGTGTCCGACTATAGAACTTACGGCGGCGGGTTGCATCGTGCAAGGGCTGTGTATTCGATACGATACGGCACGCTCCGCTGAACCGGCCGAAAGACCCTTTGGACAAATCAGCTTCCCCGGCCATGTATACCTATGCCGTTATTGGTACCTACGACGAGTACCTATAATGTAGTCGCTTTCCCTTCGCTCCACTTGGCCGAGGCCTCACCCCTCGGCCCGAGAAACTCACTCGACTGCGTGTGCGTGTGCCCGGTGGTGTTGGCTGCGGCCCAGGCACGGCGCCAAGGGGGGGCAAGGTGGGGCTCTAGCCCCCCCCAGAAAACAGACCAACCCCCCCCACTGAAAAATATGTACGATGTAATAATTAATGTTTGTTGTATACAGTTAAAAATATTTTTAGTTGACTTATTATTTTAATATGTTTATGTTTGATTAACACAATACTATTGTGTAAGGAGTTGGTATTCGTACCTACCTACTTATATTAGTTTGGTAATTAGCATGACAAATTTCTTATTTAAAATAATTAAATAATTTATTCAATTTTCTTATTTTGTTATTTTTATAATCTTATTTGTCATGGTAATTAGTTCACATATTACTTGATAATTAATAAAAAAGGATTTCTTAAAGTATCTATGTTTTAACTTTTAATGTATATATATGAACTATTTTAACCTCCAAATTTAACAAAAATATAAAGTAGGTACTTCAATAATCAATACATACACTTAGTGATGTAAATTTGTATAATACAAATGTATAATATCGTATTATACTGGTATTATACACGCTGTATAGAATTATTTTATACAATGGTATAAAATCTGTATAAAACTTTTTAATTTACTAAACATTTATTTTAGTTATTATTAAGAAAAAAAAAACCAAAATAATTATTTATGTTTATTAAAATTGTTAATTATTACTTTACTTATTACTTTTGAATTTAATTAATATTATTTTTCTTATTTGTATTAATAAGATTCAATTTTCAAATGGGAAATGGACAATGGTTGAGTAATCAAGTTTAAATTGTATAAATGTATAATATATATTTTAATACTGCAGGATTTTATACCGTATAAAATGTGTATAATACGGCATAATACGGTATAATACAAAAAATTATTATACCCTACTTAAATACAACAATATTATACAAAGTTTAATACACGTATAATACAAGGTATAATACGGTATAATACAAAAATAAAATAATATACCGTATTTTAACAACACTACATACACTACTATGCAAATACCAATTTAAAAATGTATTGAATTAAAAATTTAAAATGTATTTGTTAAATATAAGGTAGGTAATCAAAAGTTTTTATTTAAAACAAATTGTATTCCTACTGATATCAATGCAATTGTATACATTTTTGTTAACTTTTTCAATATTATAAGATTTTCAACCATTTACTGTATGGTGCATAAACAGATATTGTATAAAAAATTAATATTTAGCTCATAAAGAAATTATTATTTTTGTATATCATGTTATCATTATGAATATAGTTGTTGAAGGTCTTAGGTCTGTGATTAAACATTTTCTTACATATTACATAAGGTACAAAAAAAATATTTGATATTATTCTTAAAATATTTTTAACTATTCAAAAGTTTGTAAATATTATATGTTTAGACGTTTAGAGCATACAATATAAAAGTATGTAATATTATATAGCTAATAGCTATATTATGTTATATGATACGAACATATTTATATTTCATTTAAATAACCTTAGCATTTGTTGAAACAATTTTAACCCATGTAAAAAAAATATTTGCCCCACACTGCCCCCCCCCCTGGAAAAAAATTCTAGTGCCGTGCCTGCAGTGCGGCTTCGTACACAGCTATTTTCAATGGGGGGTCTTTCATATAAAAAATTATATACATATATATATATATATATTATACATTGATAAATCAAAACGATGTACCTATAGTAATTATTTTGTACATAATGAGTAATCGGCTCATTAGCAATGACTTAAGGTGAAATTAAAAATATTTTTACAATTCTCGATTATTATTTAAAAATATATACCTCTTACCTACAGGTAATTTTTAGTATAACTACAAAGCTTTAAGCTACACGCGTACATACAATGTGTATATAATAATATATTATATACTCGTACAATTCAATAGAAGATAGGTATAAAGAGAAATTTATTTTTACCATATTAATCATTTTTTTTGTACCTAGGTCCTAGGTTGATAATATAATGTATTAAATATTTACCTGGTTCCTCCGAGTTAATTGTATCACAAATTAGTGAGTTAGAAAAATATTCGTTTATTCTTTTCATTTTTATTGTTTTATAAAATATTTAAACAGTAAGTACAATTTACTAAACGTCCAAAGCGTCAGGAATTTGATTGAAAACTGAGAAATAGATTCAATACTATAGTATTAGCGATACTGCGATAGCTATTAAGGCATATTATATCGGATTACACGATTGTCGACCCTCATGTTTGTGTTTGAACAAATTTCCCAATAATTTCATTAATTTGTAACAAGTTATCAATAATATCTACAATATATTATAACAACAAACTGGGTTGCTTATAAGTTATAATATTATAATGGAGTATATAATTTTGAATATCCCATATCTAATAATAACTTCAGTGACGACCTTCTCGCCGTACATTTCTAATCAAAACTCGATTGTGACGGTAACACTGAAATTCCCTTAATTTAATTTTGTATTTATTTTTATTAGTACCTACTATTAATTTTTTTTTTAAATTGTCATCATTTTTATTATACATTTTTACGTAATTACGTAAACTGAAAAAATACTAAAGGGGGGGGGGGTTAAACACCCACCCCCCCCCCGTGTGTACGCCACTGGGCAGGGGTTAAAGTGAAGGGGACGCAGGGAGACTCAGTCCCCCTACTGTGGGCGGCGGTTAAAAAGCAAATTAGGATTTTATACAGTAGAACAGTGTTTCTCAATCTTTTGTATTAAATAATGTTGTGAAAATGTTATTTACTAATTCATAAATATTTGGGTACAGGGACTAAACAAATCCATTCAATATATTCTTTAAAAATATTAGAATAGGTAGGTACATTTTTTATTCTGTCAGCAAATGATTTCATATTATGATATTAGGAAGGAGCAATCCCTCTGGTTATTAGTTTATTACCAATAATATTTTCTTTTACCTATTTGTATTAGTATAAAATAAAAGTTTATTTACTACAATGTATTTCTTAATTTTGGGCATTATAAATTTGTCAGGAATTTTAGTTCAGATATCTGATAAATTAAAGGTCAATATTATATTTTATTTATCAAGGGAGATAGTTACAATAGGTAGTTTGTTTCAGTTTTGGAAAATTAAAATTAAATTTTTTTTTATTGTGTTTGAAGTTAGATATAATGATAAAAAAAAAGAAAACACATGCACTTTATAATATCCAATAAACATAGTTATATTATGTTACAAATTAAAAATTTTATTATATTACAAAGGTAGGGATATACAATGTTTTGATCGTTTATAGTAGGTAATGCTGATATTCATTCTAAATATTGTATTCTATTATTTGGTCTTGTTTGTAATAATTAATTCCAGTGGTTTGTGGGTTACTTCGAAGAAGAAAATACTTATTCTGTCATTCCTAATAATTGGATAAGTCGTCAAGACAAAATAGTGTATTGTAAATGGCCCAGGAAGCAGAAAGTTACACCAGTTATGCTAAGTAATGCCATAGAGCCTTCAAATAACTGGTCTTTGTATCCAGTAAATTTAGTGGACGGCTTATGTTTTGGTATGTATACATATTATAATACATAATGAAATTTAAATATAATATAAATGATAACTTAGATCCTATAGACTGAGTGAAAATATTTCTAATTTTTATTATTATATTTAATATTTGTATATGAAAACTCCTAGGTACTTATATTTAGATGATAAGATGTTTTTTTTTTTTAAAAATGTATGTAACTTTTGTTGCTACCACAGATCTGTGGTACTCACTTGAATAAAAAAAATATAAGAATATAGGTACCAATTTGCTATTATAAAATTAGTATAAGACATATACTTATGTATACAAGCACAATTAATGAAACATTAAATTATATGTAGATAATTATGATGAAGCGGCAAAAAAAGAGAGAGAGATATTCCTGTCAGCTTCTGAATCCGACCACCGAAGTTATAAAAAATCAAAGCCTAACAATTGTTCCTCAAGAAAAAACCTTTTTGGAAGTAATGGCAGTATTAATGATAGCGGTAATTACTTATACACATTTAATTTAAATATTATTTATTAGTTATAAGTAAAAATTCTTAAAAGAAAATAAGAATTATTACTTAATTTATATTTTGTTATATATTTAACTTTTAATAAATGCATATAGAATAGGTATAAGTGTATAACACACTAACACTGTACCCAATTAATAGAGTAGATAATTGAAAATAATAAATTATAATCAACACATTTAAAATGAAACAAATAAATAAAAATGTAGAATCTAATATATACCTATAATACCTACACAATAATTGTTAATAATAATAAAATTATGTTATTAAAAAAAAAAAAAATCATATTTTTAAATAATTCTTTTAAATAAATTCTTTTAGAATTTTTAGCAGCAAAATTAATAATATTTTTTGTACTTTCTTTACTATTCAACCAACATTTATATTTATAGACAGCAGTGATGGTGATCAACCACTTATGGTAATAAAGAAAAGAAATGATGAAGCAAAAAGTTTAACTGGTGTTCAAGAAGAGTCTTGCAATTATAGTTTTGAACCAAATTCATTGGGATCTATGTCTTCTAGTAATTATATATCTATTCTTAAATGCATATTCAATATTCATATACCTAGTTTAATGATAATTTTTAATAATTCTAAAGTTAAATATTTGAATATAAATGTCTATACATTTTTAAATAATATTTTTTATATTTAAAATTATCACTCTGTTTTATTACCTATACTGTAATAGACATTAGCAGGGCCGTTCAGAGGGCGGGGCAACGGGACCATTTTGCCCCAGGCCCCATTGTTGTAATATTTTTAGGGGGCCCCCAAAAAATCTTGATGTATAATAATTAATAATAACAAACTGTCGTCGACCACAGTTATTGAGAGAAAAATTATCTTCTTTACGTCATCCACATAATATTATAATGTAATACTTAGACAGTCATACAATGCGCGCGTAAGAGCATGGCCAGTCACGCAGTCAAAACAATATCCTCCACCGCACCGCTCGCCAATGCCGCCATTTCTACTTAATAATTTAATACATTATAGTAGAATGCGGGTAGATTGCGATAACGATGCTCGATTTGCTACGATAGCTGGTGACGGTACACTCGATATTTTTAGACAAAAACCTATAACCGATACATTGTAGAATAGACTATTCTGAATAGTAAACCAAAGTCTGCACGGCCGCAACAGTCGGTTGCTACATAATTACTCGTCAGTCGAGTAGTCGACGTATACCATATATATACCATAATAGTGTCACTGTATTTTTATAATTACCAGCACAGTAAATAGCGAATAGCAGTAACACCAATATTAGAAAGTAATAATTTATTAAAATATGCACTTATTATTCTTTATTTTTATTAAATGATTAATTTTAATATTTCTATTAGTCTTTAAAGTACCTAGTATATCTTCGTATTGAGGCATTAAGCTATAGTCTGTATCATGATATGTACCTATACTTATAAAATAATACTAAAATTGTAATTATAATTTATAACTAATACGGCGGAGCATGTAAATTCCACCGATTGCGAACTTTTTACACCTTTTTTCATGTAAATTCCACCGTTATGTTTTTTACCTGAAAAAAAATGTAAATTCCACCGGTACGTTGTTTTACCTAAAAAAAAGATGTAAATTCCACCGGTACGTTTTTCCAAATCTAATCTGATTAACTAAGATTACATAATACTTTTATTGTATTTAGATACAATAATGTATGAAAAATCATATAATAATCAAGAATTATCACTATTAACTATAGTTAACTATTATTATTAAGTAATAATAAATCGAAAAATAAAATAAAAAATATATAATTATTAATAATAGTGACATTATGTAGGTAATAGGTACAGATTTATTATTTATACATATTATATTTAGATACTTATAACTTGTTTTACAGAAATTTAAAATAAAAGATATAATAATCAATAGTTAAACGTTAGTTGAAAAAAAATGTTAATTAAATCCATAAAAAATATATGTAATACAATTATTAATTATCATTTATCAATAATGAACAGCTAGTTAATAGTAAAAAATAATTACTTACAAACAAATTTAAAATTTGGATTGATAATGTTTAGATGCAGCTTTATACATAATAGTAATAATATTGCTTTCCTTGAATGACGAAATGATGGTGTTTAAATATTTTGGCGTGTTTTTGATTGTGAATTTCTAAGGTTATTACTTAATTAGGTAGCTATTATACTAAAATTAGTTGTAATCTGTGGACTATGGATTTTACCATCAGTGGAGTTTACGTGTTTCCAGTTCAAAAATATGTAGGTACTGGTGGAATTTACAATTACACATTTTTACACTACTTATTTTTAATGACTAGAGTTGTTAATAATAAAAAAAAATAATAATGAAGTGTGTGTATTTATCGGGTGCTGCGAAGAGGAAGGCAAAAAATAATATAAAAACTTAAAGAAGAAATGGGAAAACGTAATTTACATGATTTAGGTTGGTGTTCGTCAAGTAGGAACTTGATTCAAAATGATATAAATGAGCAACAATGTGATATTGATGACCCCGAGGTATTAGAAAATGAAAAATTGCTAATTATTTATTGGTTATGGTTTGGAAAAATACGTTTACAAACATTTTGTTATTCTCAGTGAGTATTTTGTTTATCATATCTTATTATTATGGTCGAAGGGCCCCCAAATGAATTTGCCCCTGGCCCCGAAAAACCTTGGGACGGCCCTGGACATTAGTATAGTATATTATAGTTTATAGAGAAATATTGGGTATTGTTCAGTATGCTGTAGCAGTGTGTGATATTGTTTTTACCTTAACCAATTTAAATTTTTATTTTTAGTTATAAATTATGATAAACACCTTAAAACTACATTGCAAAAACGAAAAACCATGTGAATCAAGAAATGTACCATGTAGCAGTCAAGAAATGTACAGTAATATTGATCAAAGTTCCGCAAACATTTCACAGGAACCTACTGTGCAAATGGCTAGCAGCACTTATATGTTATGTAAGTAATATCATTAAAAAAATTCTATATAATATGTAACAATTAAAATTAAATAAATAAATTTATCAATTCTGAAACTACAAAATGTATAATATTTAATGTGCCAATTTTGCCCGTTTAAAATATGTTTAGCTGCAATGAACACATTATTAAATATGAACGATCAAAATGTTTATGAGTCTGCATCTCCTTTGTGTACTGAAAATACAACACAAAATTCCCAGTTTCCAACACCTCGCCCATTACTGTCTGCCTCAGCTATATACTTAATAATAATTTAAACAATTTTTCTGTTAATCGTGGTGAGTTGTAGTTATGTTATAACTTTTAAGATTTTTTTAATGTTAATATATCACATTTAAAAGATGACAATTTAAGACCACTTAACTATTGCAAAAACATTGATGCACTCATGCAATTAATTTACATGTTACATTAAATTATGCTTTGCTAAAAACTAAAAACTGTTTATTTTTATTAAAAAATATACATGTATCTAAATTCTAATATCATGTAAAATATTGTATTTAGTACCTAGTTGTATAATAAGTAATAACTATTTTTCTCCTTCAGATGCTGTTCAGTCAAATATATTAAATATTATATATGAACAAGGTATTGAAACCAATGCATATTTAAAAAGAATTGATGGAAGATTGGATTGTCTTGAACAAATCATAAAAAATATGTCAGCTGGTACCCAAAATAATAATAATAATCCTATAGATAGTGAATTTTTAACCATGTTTCCTTTAAAAGATATCGATTCACTTAAAGATTTTGATACTCGTATCACAAATGATTCAGATTTTAAACTACATGTGGTAAGAATATTAATTTTTTTAAATTTTTTTTTTACCTATTCGTTTCACATGACGTATGTTTGCCCTTATGTTTATGCCTGTTACATTATAAATACCTAACTAATGCATATTCCCTTTTAAATAAAGTCCTATTAAAGACATAATAACATTTTGCAGACGTATTTTATTACTAGAATAGGAGGTACTGATATCAAAAATTTCATTAAACGTGTATTACAAAGGATTTTTAGTAACGAGCTATCTTCAAAATACTCGTGGACAGGTTTTCGAAATAACTACAGGCTCGAAGGTACCTACCTATATATTGATTAATATGATGGACGGAGAACACAGCTATTGCATGTTGTTGACATTTTTAAACTATTGTTAAATAAAACTTGATTTTTAAAAATACTGGCATAAAATACTAGGTTAATAAATAAGTAATAACGAATAACGTGATATGCGAACCCCGTGATAAACGAACACGTATCTACTAATTTTCATTTCTTCGTACAATCTAGAATCTAGA